GATACTTGACAAAGCAGAGTCATACCTGTTCCGGCTGGCGCAAGTGGTCGAATGGAATCACCCTCCTAGACCCCCTGGGATTGTCTTTGTTGCCGGTGATTCCCCTCAGCCACTTCTCCACCATGTCTTCGCTGACGTCTTCCGGGTGGATCCGAGTGGAGTCCTCGAGTCCCGAGTACATCCACATCGGATGGTCACGGGCCTGAAGCGGTTGGATGCGTCGACTGAGAAAGACCTCCAGCAGGTCCATCCCAGTCACCCCGTCGCGGACAAGTTGGACGACCTGCTTGACCAATGCCTTGACCTGTGCCTTCTCTTCAGGGATCACCCTCAAGGAGGAGGGCTTCTCCACTCGAGCCAGGGAAAAGGGGGGAAGTCTAGTCGACTGACCCGGGGTCGGCTGGACCTTATAGTAAAACCAAGTCGACTGCCAGCCCCGGACCGAGTCAGGAAGGATCATCGCTGGGAAGGTACTCTTGTTCCTCATCTGGATCCCAAGGCCCCCGCACATCTGGATCACGTGCGTCCTCTCATCACTCGGGTTGGCCTTCTTGACCGACTGGGAGCGACACATGAATATTTGTTTGAAGAGACCCCAGTGCGGTCGACAGCCCAAGAAATTTTCGCACATTGACACAAAAGCAGCCAGATAAACTATGGTATTTGGAGTGAAGTGGTGGAGTTGAGCCCCGAAGAAGTTCAAAAAGCCACGGAAGAAAGGATGGGGAGGCAAAGAAAACCCGCGGTCGACGTGAGTGGCGAGGAGAACGCACTCACCCTCCCACGGTTGCGGCTCGGTCTCATTCCCGGGAAGCCGCACCGATTCGTGGGGGACCAGTCCCCCCTCCACCAGGTCGTCGAGGTCATCCTAGCTAATCATCGAGCGGATCCAGTCGCCCTGGATCCAGCCCGGCGGCAGGCCAGATCTTGACGAGGACCCGCCCCGGCTGGTCCTCTTGCCCTTCGCCTTCGCGGTCGCCTTCTTCGCGCGCTCCAACACCACCATCTTCTCTTTTCCCATGGCGGCGGATCAAGTCCGAGCGAGGTTACGACACCGAGAGCGGAAGCGGGCGCAGCGGAGAAGTCTGAGGATGAAGAAAGAGAACGGGAGCGCACTGTTCAAAAGCCCGGTCCGGTGCCTTTTATAAGGTCATTCCGAGACGATCTAAACAAATCCCGCAACAGTCGCGCGCGTGATACATGGCGAAAAAGGTGGTGCGGGGATCGAGGCGACCTGCCTAATCCGCCCCGATTACCACGGCCTCGCCCGTCCGGTGCGCTTCCCAAAATTCGAACCCCGCAAAATCCGCGGAGAGCAGAGCAGCTCGCCAGACTGAAAACATCCTCCACATCATCATTCGGAACTTTACCGTGAAAGTTCACTCGACAAAAACCAAGAATGGACCAAGGCGACTGAAAAAGAAGTTGATGTTATCCCCTTAGTTCATTGACCCAGAGCAAGATATACTCATGGCATGAAGAATGAGTCGGAAGTGTTCTCAACTCCTTCCTCACTCAAACCCTGATCCATTCGGGGGCTAATGATGAAGCTATGTACCTAGGGTAGGGTCATGGATCTGATCAAGATACCCTCCCCAAGGACATCTCTAAAAGAACTAGAAGCAGTCGAAGAAAAATCATCTTCGACTCGACCATAAAGCCATATTCCACTCGACTATCTTGAAGACACTCGACCATATGAACAACCACTTGACTACCAGGAGATTAAGAGCCACTCACTCTGCAACGGTCGGTATTTAAGTCATAGCTTTAATGGTCATTTATGTACTTTATTACAGGCGTTACCAGTAACGTCCCTACCTTTATGCGCCTTAAACCCTTTGTAACTGAGGGCGGGAGGGGTCCGGCGAACTCTATATAAGCCACCCCCTCCTTATGGACAAGGGTTCACACCCCCTGTAACTCACACGCATATAATCCAGTCGACCGCCTCCGGGCTCCGAGACGTAGGGCTGTTACTTCCTCCGAGAAGGGCCTGAACTCGTAAAACTCGCGTGTACAACTCCTCCATAGCTAAGATCTTGCCTCTACATACCTACCCCCCATTCTACTGTCAGACTTAGAACCACGACAGCGTCCTTGGCGGCCTTCTTGTCGGCTTCAGCTTTCTAGATGGCGGCACGTTCGGCGTCGGTGGACATGGTGATGATCGATGAAGGCGACGCGGACGTAGAGGAAGTAGACGATCGGAAGCGAGCAGTCACGTAATCGCTGCCCAAAAACCTATTCGCCCCTCACCCCGTACAGGAACCAGAAGGGCGTGGTTTCGGAGACCTGCTCTTCCGTCGACCGTGTACGCGGCGGACGGGATGGAGTCACCGCGGCAGCAGTAGCAAGGGAACGACGATGGGCTTGCACGTGGAGCAGATGTGACCTGTTCGTGGCCGCTAGGGTTGGGAGACACCGCACACTTATATAGGTGCAGCCGCGTGGAGAGACGTCTCAGATCAATACCTCCAATTGCCTTTTGAATGTTGTCTTTGTCTCATATATACATTTTCCATTTTGTTCTTCACCTGTTGCATCATATACTTTGAGGGTTGGGTTGTCCAACGTATGCATATACTTACCATTTTGTTGTTCACAAGTTCCAGCGCAGCCATGTCCATCTTAATGTAGATATTGAATGATATGCATAGTGTCACAACAAGTTGTGTTTGTTAGTTGTAAGATCTTTGTTGTATGGGGTTCACTATCTCCATATATTATTTGAATACCAATTTTTTGGGGCCATTACCTCCATGTACTGTGTTGCTAAGATTGCTGCACGCATTGACTATACCATGGCACGAGGGTATCAACTTTTCTTAGTGGCAGTAAACATATATAATACGCGCAAATAAAGTTGATGATGTGTTATAGTAACTAAGAAAATGTTGGCATACACATCATCTTTCCAAAGTAAAACAGTATAGTCACTGAGAAAAAATTGGCATACATCACCATCTTTTCAAATGAATCTGAAGATGTGCAATTTCAATTTCACTGAGAAAAAATCCGAGTTCATGACAGCCCACGACCCGACGTCTCAGATCGTGGCCCAGCTGTCAGAAACTCTTCATTAGTGACTGGCAAAAATAAGCGTGTAGCCGCGCGGCGGAGGAGGAGCGCGCGAGGGTCTCTTCTCTTCTCAAGCTCCAATAGCATGTGAAAGAACATTCCTTATAAGGAGGTCCAACTCCTCTTCCACTTCCGGGGTGGGACTAAACTTCCCACCTCCACCTTTTTTTTTGAGAAATCACTTCCCAACTCCACCTAGTGTCAATAAACCCACATGGGCCCTTAGAGATTTTCAGAAATTGCTATATGGGCATAAAGCCCATCTCAAATTTCAGCATGTAGTCTATAGCGGAATCTCTAAAAAGACTTAGGTGGTGTTTGGTTCTCTAGTCCTAGGACTTTTTCTAGTCCCAACTAAAAAGTCCCTAGTTCCTAAAAAGTCTCTCTTTGTTTGTTTGCAGAGACTAAAAAGTTCCTAGTCCCTTCCTAGAGGTTACTAAATGACCATGTTGCCCCTGGTATATAGAAAAATAACAATCAAACAACACCATGTGGTGGCGGGCAATGGGTGCATGGAGGGGCATTGTTGAAAAAGTCCCAAAAAGTCCCCAAAAGACTCTTCTTGAGAGTTTTCTTCATTTAGTCCCAAATGCCTAGTTTAGTCCCTAAAAAGTCCTTCCCGTTTGGTAAAAAAGTCTCTAAGAGGGACTTTTTCTAGTCCCTACACAAAAAAATTCCTGGAAACAAACACCCCCTTATTATATTTAGGAACGGGGAGAGTATATTTCATTAATCTTATGAATGATTAAAGTTTGGCTCAAAATATTAGAAGCCTTAATAAATCTGGACGGAGGTAGTAACAGTATAACTCTGCCTTGTCTTATGTCCCGGACGCATTGGAATAACTGTGTGCGATGTGATCTCAGACAGGGGCGGAGCCAGTAGGGGGGCGAGCGGGGGCCAGACCCCCCCTATGGATCGGCCACCCCCATGGATTTTTAGCGGGGGCTAATACTAATCTTCTGTGTAATTGTTACTTAGTACCTCACCCATTAGCAAAGTATAGGCCTTTTCTCTGTGCGTCTCAACATTGTTGGCTGGCCCAAGCCCAAAACAAATGGTTCCCGTGAGTGAATTAGACGCATCAATCCAATCACGTGATTCACGCGATCGATCGAAGACCATATGTAATACAGGCATCTACACGTACAGCCGTTCGTTTCCATTCTGTGTCGTTTGACCTAACCACGCTCCAACTGATCTCTTGTCGCCGCCGCCGCCGCCCACGACAGGCTAGGGCTTAATCAAGCGTTGACGTCGGCCATCATCGCCATGCTAGGGAATAGGCGCACACTATCTTTCGGAAGCGCGAATCCTTTCATGCTTCGTCGAGCAACGTTGACCATCGATGGTTACCACATGCCTGTGGTCTACGGAAACAACGATCATCCGTTATGACGAGCAGATGGGACGAGCTGGGCCTTAATTCCATACTCTAGCTAGGTATGCATTCTTGCAACTTGGTCACTTTTTTTCAAATACAACGCATATTGGTTCTAGATGCTTAAGTATGTCCGTTGTCGATTGATTTTCCATGCAAAACTATATGAATGCAAGCTAAATCCTGCTATTTAGTTAGACAATGATCGGTCATGTTTGTAAACATACATATGATGATAATGTTCCGTACCAACGTACTTTATGCTGTATTTCAGAATAATATGATTACCAACTTCATCTACATGGCGTGCATGTGGAGTTGTTCAATACTATAAGCTATAGCTAGACCTGCACCGACAGCAAGTAATATCGGGATTAAAACTCTTATGTAGTTTGTGAGACAAAATATTTTTCGCCTTCATTGTTGTCTCGCCCCCCCCTATGCCTAAATCCTGGCTTCGCCCCTGATCTCAGATTCCTATACGGGTCAATAGTTCAATTAATTCCATCGATATCTGTACCCAAGCTGGATAAAATCGCTAGGCAATGCCATCGTCGGTGTCTCCTGCACACCGCAGCTCCTGCTCGGCGTTGACCGCTTTGGCGGCCGCGAGCTCCTTGCTTTTGCCCCACAGAAACGCATAGAGGCCGACGACGACGAGCGCCGCTCCCATCACGCCGCCGAGGTAGACGTCGGTTCCGAGCATGACGGCGTCGACGGCGGTGGTGGCGACGAGCGACAGGGAGTTGAACATGGGAGGGTACACCGGGCCGCGGCGCTCCACCGCCCACGACACGAGCACGAACGTGACGCCTGTGTTGAACACCCCGGAGTAGACCACCGTGGCCAGCTGCAGGTCCCAGCGCAGCGTCCACGTGCGCGCCCATCCATGTCCGTCGCCGGCAGGGGCGAGGACGACCGCCATGGCCGCGGCCACGGCAGACTGCAGGCTGCCCGCGGCGCACGTGAGCGCCGTGGCCCAGTACCGGGACGGGAACACCTTGGTGACCTTGGCCTGCACGACGAACCAGAGCGCGTAGCTGACGCAGCTCCCGTACAGGAACAGCGTGCCGACGGCCATGTCGCGGCCGCCGTGGGGCGAGGCGACGTCGGGGTTGGCGTGGGAGGACTGCCGGAGGTGCGGCAGCAGGAGATGGGTGCCCTTGCAGAGGGTGACGACCATGGTGCCGGCCACGCCCACGACAGCTCCGAGGAGCTTCATCCTACTGGCCCAAGCGACGAGGGAGAGGCGCTCGGCTCGGAGCGCAACGGCGATGATGAAGGTAGCGATGGGGATGAGGTAGAGGAAGTTGACGGCGTAGGCGGCGCTGGTGGCCCGCAGGCCGCAGTAGTACAGCCCCATCGCCAGCAGCACTCTACAAAACGTATACATATATAAGCTTGCGAGAGGAATATTAATATAAATTAAAAATAATTAAGAATGAGTTTATGCACAATATGTACGCCTCTGTACATCTCAATTCCAGTTATACGTACTCCCTCCGTCCGAAAATACTTGTCATCAAAATGGATAAAAAGTGATGTATCTGAAACTAAAATATCTTTAGATAAATCTCCTTTTATGCATTTGGATGACAAGTATTTCCGGACGAAGGTAGTGCTAATTAGCCTACAAAAATGTCTTACATTTCGAGATGAAGGTATTACTTTTCTTCTACTCAGAACAAGATTATGCTTTTTCCCTTGAAAACATGATGTATTTTTTTCTTCAGATTTGCTGTTTAATTATAACTAAGGTGACTTGTGTCTTTGCAGAAGTTTGCAAACGGGCAAATCACAAATGCATTTCTAAATATAGAACTGCTGGCTGCGCAAAATACAAGCTAGCTACTACTAGTTGTAAGAATAGATTTTTTGTTAGGGGTAGTTGTAAGAATAGATTGGGAGTGGTTGTAGTGCGAACCCGAGCGTTGCGTTGAGGGAAATCCAGCCCAGCACTCGCGGGTTCACCTTCTTCCACATCTCCCTGCAACAATTTATTTAATTAATTACCATAAAAAAACAATTAGGCAGGAACTTATTAATCAGTGCAAGAAGAACAAGCTAGCTAGGCAGCTAGAGAAATGACCAGGACACACCAGAAAAATGGATGCATGGGATACTGTTCGTTCCATATACTGCATGCATGCATCGACGGGAAGAGACGTTATCTCGGTTACTATTAATTACCATCTCGGTTATTCGCAGCAGTAAAATTTACTAGCATCGCAGTCATTAGAAGTACGTGGTACTACTAATTTCTTGTGCTCTCACAAGAGTAGGTGTGGCTTTCCAAATTGACACACAGACAGATCTCGTTCGATTAGCAGTACAGTTGGCGTGTTTAGCGCTAGCTAGCTGTCAGGACACTCACCCAACTAATCAAAGCACAGACCAACTGATCCTTGTCCGAACTTTCCAATTCTGTCAAGTGTTTGTCTGGTACATTTCGCCACAAAAAGGCGTTTGTCTTGTGCACACACTATTAAGCAGTAGGGCAGGAGTATACATCATTTTCCAAATCGGGGAAGAGTGGTACAATTAATTAGCAATAATGATACACCTACAAAGATCTACAAAGGTTTGCATAACCTTCCAAACTTATTTTCTCTCTCTCCCCTGATTTTAAGTGGGATGAACCCCCTCATCCCCATATTAACAATTATAATCCTTCACATAAGTTTGTACGTAAAATCTTCAAGTAAACCTTTGTACTTCCAGTGCGTGCGGCCAGCAGTTACCGGTCATGTTCCTACTACTATGTGCATGCATGCATGATCACGGCCGTCCATCCATTGATCAGCACAAATGGAGAGGGTTTCATGCGTGCGTGTAGTGTATGTCTAGCGCTGTCACGAAAACTACCTAATTTATACGTAATGGCCCCAAAGTTAACAAAGGTTGTCGAATTTGCTAGTTGTAGCCAAATGTGTATCAATGTCAAAAGTTGTATTTCCTCCGTCTCATAATGTAAGAGCGTTGAGACAGAGGGAGTACTAATTTTATAGTACAATCTCTGTAACATTTACAGAGGGAGTACATGAACACACGCAATACTTCCGGTGCGTGCGGCTACGTGTTTGCTAATTAAATAGATTGGGTGAATAATATCTATATATGACCCAGACCATCTTATTAACACGGCAACTAATTAATCGGCCGGCGCGGGTCAAATATATGTCGATCCGAACGTTCGTCACTCGAGCTAGCTACATGGTCGGCGTCGCATGCATAGCATAGCATAGAGAATTAATTAGCTAATAAATAACCAGTATACTGAAACAAAATACATACGGAGTACAAAAGACGGTTCATGCATGAATGATTGGATGACGCATGGAAATATACAGTTTGGGGCGGACGCGGCGAACACGCATGGTGAGAGGGATGAAAATTTCCTGGTCATCGACTTTACATCCGATCTGATCATAAACGGCAGAGGAGATCACCAAATTTTGGATTCGATCTAGCACCTCATTTATATGCGAGAGCTCCTTGGTGTCAAGGGCCTAGCTATAAGTCGGGCTAATGTGAAATAGTTTGTTTGGGCCACTTGATGCAGGCCCGTCATCTCGGCCGCTCAGGGCCGACCCCTGGTCAACAAGCGGAGAAGCTGCATCAAAGGCCGCTGACGGGTCTGAGGACAAGTTCGGATCAAGGCCGTCATCCTAGGAGGTAGGGGTTAGGTTGGCGGTGGTGACCACCAGATCTATCTACAGGGTTGGTTCCATCAGGAGGTCGGATTCGCTGTTCCAGAGTTCCTACGTCGGAGGGATCTTTGAGCCGATCTAAGATCTGTCCTGAGAGGACTAGATCACTTCAGGCGTTCGTGATGTACTCCAGGCTTCCAAACATGATGACCTGGTTTAGGGCGAAGTTCTCAAAACGGCCCAAGCGGCCGGTCATATCAGCGTGCAACATGATGCTACCAAAGGCGAAAAGCTGGTCGGGGACAAAGATGTCACCGCAACCAATACTGCTATCAATCTACAAGCGAGCCATCAATCCTTGGCGATCCAACAATGAGCTCTCAATGAAAGCATCAATGTCGGTGTCAAAATTGGTAGATCTCGGGTAGGGGGCCTGAGCTATGAGATTGGATCGATGGGTAACAGGAGACAAGGGACACAATGTTTTTACCCAGCTCTGGGACCTCTCGAAGAGGTAAAAACCTACGTCCTGCTCTTGTTTATATTGTGGATGTATCAAAGTACAGAGTTGATCTACCTCGAGATCATAAGTTGTGGACTAAACCCTAAGGGTAATGGTGACGATGATCAATGTGTCTCTACGGACTAAACCCTTCAGCTTATATAGACACCAGTGGTATCTAAGGTTGCACATGGTCGGTTGCCATCTAGGGGTTACACGTTGATCGTAATAGATATACTTGGAGTACACACCAAGTCCTCAGTGAAGCCCGATATGCTAACGCCATAGGTTAGAAGCCTCCAGAGTCCTTCCTCATCAACGGGCTGTCAGTCCGGCCCATGGACTAGACTAGCTAGGCCAGGACACCGCCAGCTACTTACGAGGACATAGAATCCTCTAGCAATCTAGCGTCTGGTAGTATACGTCAAGTCTTTTGGATCTTCTTTTTATGTTTCATGTGCTGCTCGATGCGGCCCAAGATGGTACCGACAAGGGGTCCTCAACCCGGCCCACTAGGCAAGGAGTTGACATGGTGAGAGACCCCTTAGCCGGGACACCGCACCAGCAGAAATAAACAATTTTTACCTTGATGGCATTTCATCAACCAGTTGGTGGCCACATACGATGATGGCAACGACGGTCGGTCGTGCCGGACGAGCGGGCGTAGGGGTGGCCGGAGACAGGGTACAAGACGTTGGCGAGAATGAGGCGTCGGAGCCTTCTTCTTCTTCTTCTTCTTCTTCTTCTTCTTCTTTTCGTTGGCCTCCTGCTCAACGAGCACCATCGCGGTTGCCGACAGTTGGAGCAGCGGGAGGACTACCAATTGTCGCCCGATGTCGTTTGTGGCCTTGCTACCGGCCTTTGTTGCCGGTGTGGTTGCCCGAAAGAGGTTTTTGTTTCCCAACCTTATTTTGTACAGGCGGCGGCGTGTGGGTCATTTTTGATGATGTCGTGTCAGCGATGGCTGGCGGGGTGGCAGAAGGATCTTGCAGTTCCATTCCGACCAAAATCGAAGGCATCAGTGTTGGCAGCGGAAGCGGGCAGAAAGTGGTGGCCGTTTGGGCGGGAAGGGAGAGGATCTGGAGTTTTACTTTGAGAGGGATTGGTTAAGTATATTTGAGAGAGTTGGCTACCTTTTGCCACGAATTGTTATTTTTTGTTTCCACCTCTAACAGTTTGAAAGATTATTTATGTGCGGTTAGAGAAGCAAAACGAGGAATCATAAGTTTGTTTTTAGAGGCGTGCTACGTGTCGGCCCGCAGTGAGCCATCGGATGTGTTGATGCAAGTTGTATATATCGTTCCTCTTGCAACAAGTCTTTTGTTACAAAATCGTTATTTCTTTAATTTTCTTTAATAAGACCTTTGTTGCAAAACATTCTCTTCTCTATTTTTCGGCAATAAGAGCCATGTTAGAAAACCTTTTCTTCTCTAAATTTCTGCAACAAGACCCATATTACACAAACCTCTTCTTCTTCTTCTTCTTCTTCTTCTTCTTCTTCTTCAATTTTCTCCAACAAAACCCTTATTGCAAATGTTACAAACGCATATCCACCGCATCTAAATTTCTACAACAAGATCCATGTTGCAAAAACTGAAAAACATCTCTGACCACGTCATGCACTTGCGCAGTCATCATTTGTTGTCATCGTTCTGCAACACCACCGTTGTTGCAGAGATAAAATGAGGAAGAAGACGTTGTGCCGTAGGCCACGTATTGAGTAAGGGAGGTGGCGAACGCCCCACGCTTAATCGGACGGCAGATTTCCCTTGATTTTTTTAGCATCATAAACTTTATTCATCAAATGATAGCCATATCATTTACATAATGGTGAAAAATAAAGTCAAGGATGACAGTTTCCATACTTCAGACTTGCCAGAACTAATATAATATTTTGCTAAATCACCCATGACCGAATTGGCCTCTCTACTACGGAGATCAAAAGTGATACTAGCAAACTTCGGTGCCATGAGGAGCACTCGGCTATGATTGGTACGCATGCTCCCATATCTCTACTACTATTATTTATTTTTATTTACATTAAATAAACAAACAAGAACTTTCTTAAATGCACCCCACCATTAGTCCCACAACACCGCATGAACCAATCAGTACCACACGATTAGGCCCACAACTCTCAATCTAACCGTTATTATTAATGTAATACTTTTATGGTGTACACTTAACAATTTCCAACGACTGGAAATTGCA